TGGCTTTCCGACACGTCATCCTGTCTAGCAAAGGTAACACAAGCTGTCGAGCACGCAATCGTGGAGTTAAACTTTTTCTGGTTAGACTCTGTGCCTTACACACACTGGAATATCGCATTCCCGTGTAATATTTTACTTTCACAAACAGGTTGACCGACTTTGACGCTCCAATACACAGCTCCCCAGTTTCCCAAATTAACTGATCGTGCCGTCCCGAGTTCCATCAGTTTACGGTGACCGAAACACTGGCAGTCGGAACCGACGCACCCTTGGTATTGAAGGGGATTGAAGTGACTGAGCAAAAGAAGATGCAGGAACACACAGGATATGATTTGATAACGAATTAACAGGGCCGTAGTCGGGTCAGTACTGGGGTCCACAGATCCCTAGATGGGAGTAGAGAGATGACAACCAGTCAGTTGCTCTTCGGCACCTGCTCTGGAGAACAACGGCTGCATCGACCTGGTGTAAACTATCGTCTTTAATCGCTGTTCATTCCCACGCTGTCCAGTATTATCTCCACCTAAAGCTGCTCCACATTGTTATACGGACGGGCAATCCGGCCGCTGCGAGCTAAGGACGGTAAAAAGCTTTTCGTGTTTGGGCATCGGTGTCTTCCGATTAATTGCCGAGTCTCGCGGGAACACCGGATCAGCAATACTGAAGTATAGCGAATGATGAACTGATTACACTAAATAGGCTGCGTTGGCTTGGTCACATGCTCCGTTTCCCAGTTGTCTGACTTCCTCAAGGGGTTTTTCTCGCACAACTATGCGACCCAGGAGAGGTCAAGTAATGGAGTGGTAACTACCAGCAAGTTCAGCTGGTTTGGTCATTGCCGCCTTCATGGATGGGGACACCGAGACGGGACACCTCAAGGGTTAGGGAGATTGTCAGATATAGCCCAGTCCCGCCCTCGCTCACGTGCATGCATCTAGGCTGTTGTTCAATGCATAACCCCCTTCCCAATCTCCTGACACGTACGGACGCATCTATTAGGTCAACCACCGCCTTTAATAGTTAGCCTCTGCAGATTACCGGCGGACGAAACTGTGGCAGTTGTAACGACCGTACAACATGTAGAAAAAAATCGCTCGGCTGTAACACCCTTCCGGTGCCTAGCTGTCACGCAATCAGAAGGAAGAACGAGGGCTGGTTGCCCAAGCCCAGACAGGGGAAGTCGACAGGCAGAGGTCGGGTTCGAACCACGGACCTTCCAGTCAGTAAGTTCGCGCTCTAGCCACTTGAGCCATCTCGCGTACATGTACGCTGTCTTTACAGCTGAAGATGGTGAATATGACAACTGTAGGCTTCGGAACTGCTTCACCGGTTTTGTGGCTGAGGAATCGAAACTGCAGTGCCCGCATCAATTTAATGCATCCAGTTCCACAGATGAACAGCCAAGTCAGAAGTGACTGAAAGCATGACAAGATGCACTGATCTCAAAAGATAGTAATCAAGTCTTTTCCTCACCAAACAAGTTGAAGTTGGACAAAGCAGAGGGCAACAACATAATCGCAGATTTCGAGAGTTAGAGAAAAAACCGGAGACTCACTCGATAATCCAAAACGAGATACTCATCTCGACAAATCGGACACGGATTCGACGAGACCAGCCTTTTTGCCACCTTCGAGCGATGTGATACGTGAAAGAGAGGGAGGAAGAAAAAAGATGAGCAAACAGGCTTGAAGGAGGATTCTATCAGATCGACTGAAGCCTGAGGGAAAAAACACCAAGAACATTGTACTGGTGGTGGTTTGAGCAGAATGGTGATTTTCGATTGAGGTTCCACCCTGTCAATGAAGCCAGTCTACGCTGGAAAGCACTGTAGAGCTGCTTCATCCTTACTGGGAATCACCGGCAGTACATACCGCATAAAAACCATAGACCACCGCTGAAGAGTGGGATGGGATGGGATACAGTGTGGCTGCAGCCCATCACACTATTTGGTGAGGTCAGGGGCGAGATCGCCCAAATGGTTAGAGCGCGAATTTACTGACCATAAGGTCCGTGGTTCGAACCCGACCTCTGCACCTCGACCGCCCCTGTCTAGGCTTGGGCATCCTGGCAGTATCCCAGCCCTCGTGCTTCCTTCTGGTTGTATGGCAGTTAGGCACCTAAAGGAGCTACACCTGAACGAGATCAGACTACGGTGAAAAAAGTGTACAGAAGATAATCGTTCAGCTGTAACACACTTTCTGTACCTGTTATATCTGCTGATTCGTCACTCTGTTGTATCTGCTGCTGACCCGCTCCAGTGCCTAGTGTCGGAGAGAAAAGACTCACAATAGCTCTATTCCAACAAAGCGGGTGGGACAGCGCGAGTGCGTGCGAGTGCGAAGGCAAAAGTTACAACGGCCCCATGCTATTTAAAGGGGACTTCCTGACACTGATCCAGGCTGTCTGATAGGCGTTGGTGGACACCGGTCAACACCGATCGTGACTCTATGAACCGCCTGAACGCTGATCACATTCGGTCGTGCTTCTGTGGCGTGCAAGAACACTCACCAGCTTTTGCTGAATTGATTGAATGATTGACTGGCCTGGATGCTTGCCGGCTTTCCTGTTGAGTTTTTGGTGAAGCAGTAGGTTCCCGG